TGGTTTGTTTTTGTAATAATTCTGCATACAGTTTGCATTCAGTATGTTTCACCCACTTATCGCAGTTTCCAAAATATTTCATGGAGCTTTTCATAAAACGTTGCAGGATTGGCTGTTTTAAAAGCTGGATTTAAATTGAACTGTAGGGTAAATATGAAGATGATGTATCTTGTGATAACACAAAAGAGATCTGAATCGCACACGTTTACCCTGAAGAGCTCAACGCCCAGAAAAAAAAGGCTGCGTAGTGTCACCGGATGTGGAAGGCTTCAAGGCTTCACAAGAGAACACAGTTCTTTAAAAACTCTTGGGATCCATATGGCCATGGTCTCAAATTTCTTTGAGCAGTGACATTTCTTTAAAGTTCTATTTGTGTTCTCCCGTTTCAGGTCTAATTATGCATACTGTACATTTCACCTTTAACATGGCAGTTGTGGATTGTTGAAGTAGCATCGGCTCTCGTTAACTCAGCCTTTGTGTGTACTACGGTCTGCCTACCTTGTGTCTCAGACTGGGAGACGAGCACAGAGAACAACTGAACTCCATGTTTAAATTAAATGGACGACAGAAGTGAAATATGCTTCTTTGCAAGCTCAGGATTTCGGGGACAGAAATGACTGGCCATACAGGGTTTAACAGTATTTTGCATGACCGTAAACTGATATAGATCATCGTTTTTTCGCATTGAAGCTGGTGATTTAATTCTCCTCCTACCTGCATAGAGCACTCCATCACACAGACGGCTATGACAGCATCCTCTACGGTCACAGTCTCTCTGTACATGAGTTTCGCATGAGCTGGAAGATAAAGACAAAAGCCCACTGTGTTAAAAGTGCAGTTGTAATTGAGTGTGCTCTAGTTAACACACAGTCTTTCAGAACTGGTAAAAACGTGAAGGGTCAGGCCCAGCAGTGTATAAATAAATAATGGATAACAATTCTTTCATTAAGAAAAATTAACATAAAGTTTTAGATTCAAGTTTTAGATTAAATCCTCCTCAGGTGGAGTTTCAGTGTCTCATGACTGATGGTAAATTAAAGTAAGAGGTGGGCTGGACTAATCCCGAGTGATATGTAGAAGGAGAAGATCAATTATCCATAAGGAGTTTGGACTTGAGCCACAGATCCTCCTAGTAGAAAGGAGTCAGGGGGGTCATCAGATTAGGATGCCTGCTGGTTCCTCCCTTTGGAGGTTTTTCAGTCACAGTCAACGGGGTTTATGGCAAAACCTGAACTGGAGGGAATATATAATAATATAATAATAATATATAATAATATATAATCTGGTCTGAGAATGCCTCAGGTTCCCAAACAGGAGCTGGAGTTTGCTCCCAAAACTGCTTCCATAACCCAACCTCAGACAAGAGGATGAATGGGTGACATTTAAATATAATGCAGAAAACATTACACTATATATACTGTAAATATATACAGTGGGGGAAATAAGTATTTGACCCCTTGCTGATTTTGCAGGTTTGCCCACTTACAAAGAATGCTTATTTTTCCTCATCAGATGGTTATCAATTTTTATAAATTCATATGATGTGATTTTCTGGAATTTTCTTTGGGATTCTGTCTTTCACTGTGAGAATCTACATATGATTAAAGTTATAGATCGTTGCGTTCTTTGTAAGTGGGCAAACCTGCAAAATCAGCAAGGGCTCAAATACTTATTTCCCCCACTGTATATATATATATATATATAGAAACTTTAGCTCCTGCTTTTTACACGTGTAACTAATGTCATGAGCACTGTCCATAACAATTGAGAATCTGTATGAAGACCTACATTAACCAACAGCTGCTGCTTTTCTGCTAATGCTAAATGCAGCTCTTACTACATCTCCTGTAAGAATCAGAGCAGAAAGCTTCACAAATATGAAAGCTCGTTAGAGCTGAACGCTGCAGAAGTAAAAGAAGACGAAGCCGTCCTCACCCTCGGCCAGCCGGCTCAGGCTCTCCAGCATGCGGATGGTGGTGCGGGCAGCGTTGCGGCCGTCGGCCTGCCGCTGCAGCTGGTAGTAGCGCGTCAGGATGCAGTCGGCCTGCTCGCCAACACGGGGCTGCAGCTGCTTAATCAGACTGAAGTAAGCCTTCATTTTCTCCATGGACCAGAGACCCGAGGACTCGGCTGGTGGCCCTTTAAGCAAGCAGAAAGAGACACATGAGGCTTTTTTGTAAGAATATCCTACATATAACGGCAAAAAACATGAAGATTTGTCTCCTTTTGCAAAAAAAAAAAATCACATCTTGTTAAATGCTATAGCTAAAAATGTCAACTTTCAGAAATTAGGCTGTATGTAATGTATGTTGAAACACAGGAACACCTGAGCATGAAAAATACTTATTCTAACTGATGCCATTACTTCCCTAAAATTCCTGATTCCTGATCAATGTTCACCCATCCAGCAAATAAACTGTTTCAGCCCCCACCTTAGGAAGGAGCATTCAGAGCAAAACCACCAGGCCCAGAAACGACTGCTTTCCTGAAGTCTGCTGAATTTGAACCCCAATCTGTACCCCTCTCTCATCTTATTCCCTCTCCCTTTCTCATTTTCTCTCCCTTCCCTCACCCCACGCTGACCGCCACTAAAACCCATCAAAGGGATTCACATGGGCATCAGCAAAGGTAATTACAGCTTCATTATTTAAGGCTTTATATTTATGCTCTCTTACTTCAGTTTCAGTCTAATTTATTGGGCTTCTTAAACCGGGATTTGAGTCTGAATTTCGGAACATAAACATGCAAATGTGAGCTGGCACGAAAATAAAGCTCCATCAATCCTCAATGTAACTTACTGAATTCAAACTTGCATTCGTTACCTCTGTCTTCCAGGATGAAGGAGGAGATTGTGCGGTCCCACTCGGCGTTTCTCGTGTCAAGCAGAACCAGCACCAGGTCGAAACGGCTTAGCAGAGGGCTGGCAAGAGCCACGTTCACAGACAGGGGCTCGTTGGAGTCGTACTGACCCTTTGGGTTGGTGGCGGCCAAAATGGTAGTCCTAGTATTCAGCTTACAAACCATGCTGCAGAACAACGAAAGAATACACGAGAGGGGGGAAAGGGGCTGTAAATGAAGAAGTCCCATGTATTCATGAACACACAAATATACACATTTGGGTCGACAATAATAGAATTAGGAATTTCCTTAAGAGAGATACATATATATATATATATATATATTCATATATTTATTTATTAAGGAAATTTCTAATTCTATTATGATTTCCTTAAGAGAGATACATATATATATATATATATATTTATTTATTAAGGAAATTTCTAATTCTATTATGATTTCCTTAAGAGAGATACATATATAT